ATAGGATTCTTGGTTTTAAGTTATTTTTCTTCAGTGTTTTATATATGCTGTCCCATTGCCTTCTTGCCTGGATGGTTTCTGCTGAGTAATCAGAACTCACACTAACTGTTTGATTATTATAAGTGATATTTCTTTTGTCCTGGGCAGATCATAAGAGTCTTTCTTTGTCTTTGGTTTTGGAGAGCTTGATTATGACATGCCTCGCTGTTTTTCTCTTGGGATCTATCCTGTATGGGGTTCTTTGAGCTTCTTGGACAAACATCTTTTCTTCCTTCATGGTATGGGGGAAATTTTCTGTTAGTAAGTATTCCACAATTTTCTCAGTGTTTTCTTTCACCTCTTCTTGTTCTGGAATTCCAGTGAGGTGTATGTTGTCCAATATAGCTCTTAGATTCTCTTCATTTTGCTTAAATCTTTGCTCTGATTTTTCTTCATACAGGCTGGTGTCAAGGGATTTATCTTCTAGTTACAAAATGCATTCTTCAGCCAGTTCCAGCCTATTCTTTCGTGCTTTCACTGTGTTGTGTAATTCTGTAATTTTGGTATTCATCTTCTGGGTTTCTGCTAGTTTTGTATGAGTTCTGATTATGTATTAATCTTGTTATTTTGTTCTTAAATGGCTTTCCTGAGTTCTTCTAGGGTGCTGTCTCCTAGGTTCTATTTGAGGTTTCCTTAAGCTCTTGTAAAGTTCTATAAACACATCTTCTAAATTCCTTCTTGGATAACTCTATCGCCTCCTCTTCCTTCACTTTTAATGAGACTTTTTGTTTGGGATTTTATTTCTATTGTCTTATCCTTTTTGTTTGTTTGTTTGTTTGATTTGAGGTTGCCTGTTGTTTCCTAGACCTTTTGAAGTTGTTGTCTTTAACTGTTAGCTATGTAATGATTTGTTTTGTCTTGATTTTATGATTTCATATTTTTGCAAAGGAGGAGCTGATGTATTTTATTTTTTTGGTTATTAATTCAGGTGTGCTGGGTTGCTCTGCAGTTTTCTTTGAGATGATGGAATCACTGTGTGGAATGTGGATGCAGGTCTCTGTTTGCTGTGAAGGGGGTTTAGGATTCGAGCCGGCAGGTGTTGTTGGGGCTTAATGTGGTTTTTCTATTGGATGAGGTGGGGTGAGGCGGGGAAAGGAGGAGGAAAAAAAAAATAAACTCCAAGGTGCCAGTAGCCATTTCCAGGGCTTTGAGTAGGCTGCTAATGATGACATTACACTGTTACTCACAGGCTCACAGCTCAATTTCAGCAAAAACCTCAATGGTTACAGGGCCACCACTTTCTACCAGGTTCAGAGAGCCACAAAAACCCCATACTCTAGGCCCCTCCATGCCAAAAAGCTGTCCTGGAATAGCTGCCCTGACCCACACCACAAGTTCGGCCCAGGGCCTGCCCACTGGCAGTGTGCTTCCCTCTCTGCTCCCAATTCAGCAGTGCCTGGAGCTGAAGGGGTCTCTGCTCCACTTTTCAGAAATGCCACCCTCCCAATGGTCCTAAATTTACCTATAAAAACAGGTGCTGAAGGTAGATCTGTGGAGGAGTGGCTGCAGGTCCCCTGACACATTCTCCCCACTGCCCCAGGAAGCCTCCAATGCCCTGTCTTGCCGGCCAGTCGGCACTCCGCAAGGCAGGTTCATTTATTTTTAATCTTTCCTGTTGCTTACACTGCCTCTCTTTCCTTTCTAATCCTACTCCCCTGAGTTTGGCCTTGCCTGACTTAATGAGCTGTTCAGAGCACCAGAATCCCTGCTTCAAACTGCTGCACCTAGTTTTTCAGGTATGAAGATGCTAGAGGGAACTAACGTGTGGGCTACAGGTATACCATCTTCCCGTTCCAAACTTAATTGCACTTAATAAGTGCATAATACATCTCTTCAAGCATATGTTGAATATTTACAGAAACTGAGATATGCTGGGGCATAACACAAAATTCAATAAACTTGTAAGAATTGAAAAAATACACTACATTAATAGAACAAAGTACAAGAACTACATGATCATCTCAACTGATGTAGAAAAGTCATTTAACAAAATCAATACCTTTTCATGATAAAAAACACTCAGCAAACAAGGAATAGAGGGAAAATTCTTCAACATGATAAAATTATATATATATATATTTATATATATATATATAAACTACAGCTAACATATACTCAGGAGCTCTAGCAGTGTAGTGCTTAAGGCATTTGACTGCCAACCAGAAGGCTGGTGGTTCAAACCCACCAGCCATTCCTCGGAAGCAAGACTAGGCAACCTACTTCCATAGAGACACCGCCTTGGAAACCCAAGGAGGGGTCACTATGAGTTGGATTCAAATTGATGGCAGTGAGTTTGGTTTGGTTTGAACATCATTCTCAGTGGGAAAAGACTGAAAGCATTCCCTTTAAGATAAGGACAATGTTTAATGTAATTAAAGCATTATTCATGCTTTTAATATTTATTGACCACCTCCTATGTGCCAGAAAATGAAAATCCTCACAACTGGACCAATAAGCAGCATCACAATAAATGGAAAAAAGATTGAAATTATCAAAGATTTCATATTACCTGGTTCCACAATCAACACCAGTGGAAGCAGCGGTCAAGACAGCAGACAACGTACTGCACTGGGCACCTCTGCTGCAAAAGACCTCTTTAAAGTGCTAAAGAGTAAAGATTTCTCCTTGAAAACTAAGGTGCACCTGATGCAAGCCATGGTGTTTTCAATCACCTCATATGCATGTGAGAGCTGGACAATGAATAAGGAAGACTGAAGAAGAG